AAGCCCGATAACCCGTTCCTCCTCCCTCCCTAAAGTTCCCTCTCTTTCATTTGTAATCATTTCTTCTTTATGTCGCCTTTTCTTCTTGCTCTTCCTGATGCTCTGGTTAGTAGGTTCTAGGTGCTCATCATCCAGGTGCTCTTGATTCTTTTCCATTATTCTAGCCTCTTTCTCCTTTTTCTGCTTCCTTTTCTTTTTCTTTTTTTGGGGGGGCTTACTCTCATTCTGTGGGGGAGAGGGCCCTGGGTCTTTTCCTTTGAGACGAGCCAGGAAGTCCTGTTCCTGGGCCTCTAGCCGAGCAAGCTTAGCCTTCATTGTGATCCCAAGACGAGCAGCCCTGAAACAGGTAATGTCCCAGTCAACAAAGGTATCAAGAGAGATGGGCCTCACCTTAGGCCTGCAGGAGAAGGTGAAGGGCAGAGAATTGTCTTTCATCAGATAGTAGATGGATGAATAGTAGGAATTACTTCCCTGGAGTGAAAAGAATCCAAAGGTGGCAAAGGCCATCCTCAAGATTGGGCAAAAAAAGAGCTCAAGGTGGTGACCACAACTTACTTGTGTGCTGTTCGCCCCTTACAGGCCTGGAGCAGCATCTCATCAGTCAGACTGTGGGGGGCACATGAAGAGTTACAGATCTGGTGGAAGGGCTCAGCCTCTCCTCCCCTCCAGAATGTTTCTTCAATACTGAGTTTTTATTCAAGACCTGGCACTTTTCAGGGTGCTATAGATAACAAAGATTAGTAAAACCTGATTTAATTATGCCCCCTAGAACCCCAGTTAAACATCGGACTTGCCCTTTTGCTTATGACCCAGGGCATCTCCTCCCACATGGCCCAGTGCTGAGAGAAGGCTCACATCTTTGGAGGCGTGGGCTCCTGCTTGCTGTCATCAGTGCAGCTCTCCCAGTCTCTGTCTGGCTTCTCTTCACCTGATGTCAGTGTGGATGTCTAAAGGAGGGAAGTCAAAGGGGGACACCGTGGTGTGGATATGGTCTGTTCAACACATTAACATCCCCCTTCCCTTGTGAAAGCCCACCTGCCCTAGGTGGAATCTGCTAGCCCCCCACACTGTTCCTTGCAGAGCCAGAGAAAGCTGAGGCAGCCTGCATGCTTCATCCTGAGTAAGAGGTGGCTGCAGCAGATGGGAGGCAAAGCAGTCTTGTCTCTAACTCACAACTCGCTGGTGGGCATAAGCAAGAAAATGTTTTGGGTCACCAGGTGCTTCCAGTGGTGCTGTAACTGACAATAAAGTGACACCATACTCCCTAACCCATACGTATTCACAGTACCTTTGTTTAACTGGATTAACAGGCTCTGCTATGGCCAAGGAACTGGGGACAGAGCAGAGTGAGAACAAAGTGGTTCCAGCCCAGATGGAACTACACAGTGATAAGGGAAACCAGAAGGATGGAAGCAGTGCTGGTGGAAATGTTGCCATTGTAGAGATGCAGGCCACACAAGACTGCAGGGTTCATGACACAGTTTTTGGGAGAAACATTAAGTTGGCCATACAAGAATACAGGTTCATGTTTTGTTTTGTTGTTTTTTTTTTG